ATTACGCAGTTCTCTCTACTCGCCTGGTAGGTCAGACAGGCTAGGCTCGTGGTCTAGATGACCCGCCCTGCGAGGTCAGACAGCTAGGCTCGTGGTCTAGTGACCTGGCAAATGGAGGTCAGCAGCTAGGCTTCGTGGTCTAGATTGACCTGCCTTGTGAGGTTCAGCCAGCTAGGCTTCGTGGTCTAGATGACCTGCCTGGAGGTCAGACGTAGGTCGTGGTCTATGATGACCTGCTGGAGGTCAGACAGCTATAGGTCTCGTGTCTAGATGACTGCCTGATGTTCAGACAGCTAATGGGCTCGTTCGGTCTAGATGACCTGCCTGGAGGTCAGACAGCCCTATAGGCTCGTGGTCTTAGATGACCCGCCTGGAGGTCAGACAGCCTATAGGCTCATGGTCTAGATGACCTGCCTGGAGGTTTCAGACAGGCTAGGCTCGTGGTCAGATGACCTGCCTGGCAGGTCAGACAGCTAGGCTCGTGGCTAGATGACCTGCCTGGAGGTCAGGACAGCCTAGGCTTACGTGGTTCTTCTAGATGACCTGCCTGGGAGGTCAGGTCACAGCTATAGGCTCGTGGTTCTAGATGACCTGCCTGGAGGTCAGACAGCTTAGGCTCGCTGCCGTCTGATGACCTGCCTATGAGGTCATACAAGCTATATAGGCTCGTGTGGTCTAGATTGACCTGCCTGCGGGATGTCAAAAAAACCAGGCTTATAGGCTCGTGGTCTAGGATGACCTGCTGGAGCGTTCAGATCAGCTTTATGGTCATGTGGTCTAAGATGACCTGCTCTGAGGTCAGACAGCTAGCTCGTGGTCTAGATGTACCCGCCTGGAGGTCAGGACAGCTAGGCTCGTTGGTCTAGATGACCTTGCCTGGAGGTCAGACAGCTAGGCTTGTGGTAGCTTAAGATTGACCTGCCTGGATGTCAGACAGCATATCAGGCTTGTGAGTCTAGATGACCTGCCTGGAGGTCAGACAGCTATAGGCTTCGTGGTCTAGATGTACCTGCTTGCGAGGTCAGACAGCTGAGGCTTGTTGGTCATAGATGACCTGCTGGATGTCAGACAGCTATAGGCTTGTGGTTAGAGACTCTGCCTGGTAGGTCAGACGGCTATAGCTTGTGATCTAGATAACCTGGCCTGCCGGTAGGCTCAGACAAAGCTATTAGCTCTTGTTGTCTAGATTGGAACTGCGCTGCGGATGTCAGGACAGCTATAGGCTTTGGTGGTCTAGTGACCTGCCCTGGAGGTTCAGACAGCTATAGGCCTCGTTGGTCTAGATGAACCGTGCCTGGATTGTCAGACAGCTCATGGCTTGTGCGTCTAGATGACCTGCTGGAGGTCAGACAGCTTATAGGCTGCATGTGCTCTAGATGACCTGCCGTGGACCCGGTCAGACAGCTATAGGCTCGTGGTCTAGATGACCTGCCTGGAGGTCAGACAGCTAGGCTCGTGGTCTAGATGACCTGCCTGGAGGTCAGACAGCTATAGGCTCGTGGTCTAGATGACCTGCCTGGAGGTCAGACAGCTATAGGCTCGTGGTCTAGATGACCCGCCTGGAGGTCAGACAGCTATAGGCTCGTGGTCTAGATGACCTGCCTGGAGGTCAGACAGCTATAGGCTCGTGGTCTAGATGACCTGCCTGGAGGTCAGACAGCTATAGGCTCGTGGTCTAGATGACCTGCCTGGAGGTCAGACAGCGATAGGCTCGTGGTCTAGATGACCCGCCTGGAGATGAGCCAGCTCAAATCAGACTCCAAGCATGCAGCCTGTTGATTGATTAATTATGATTAATTATGTGATTATGCTCTACGCATAATAAGGTTACTCCCCGGCATAATGAAGACAGACAGGCACAGCTACTAGAAGTAGAGATTCGAATGACTAAAAGTGCCTCCAATAGAATACCTAAATAATTACCACACACTTATATTTATATACAAATACATCTTTTCTCCATTTTTTCTCCATGTAAAAGACTGTTTTCAGTACGTGTATTTGTATTCTATAATTATATGCAATCAAGATTTAATAACAATGACAATAATAATAAAGTTTTGATATTGTAACTTGTATCGTGTGAAACATCTCAAACGTGTTATCCCGTACGTGAGTCGTGCTGCCCGATCTCTAGGCTCCAGGCGGGGAAACTCGCCACAATACGAGATAAATTGGCGAGTGGGTTGAGTTAACCGGTGCCCCCTCTACTTAGCTTATTGGATTTTATAGTAGGATAGTTTTGTATAACTCCATGGCAGATGTGTAAGTTTGCAGTATTATTATAGCCTGACACACGGGAGTCTGTTTGCTGCTACAGGTGCTTTGCATTGGGTTGTAATGATTGCTTGCATTTATCTAAGATGAAAAACTACGTTTTTGTCAATCGTAGCACAGGAGTCATGGCAAGTAAGAGGGGGCATCCACAACACTTGTCGCATGTGCTGCGGTGAAATTGGAGCCTTTCTGTGTGATAATATGTTCAGTATATAATATAATTGTAGGGTTTTGTGCACCAAACCGACATTGCATTATGGTATTCTTAAAAACTCTAACCGGAGAAATATTTTTATTGTTCTTACAGATACTTACACTGTGGAGCAAGCGGTGGATGCAATTGGGTTTGGAATATTTCAGGTTAAATTGTCGTTACTCACTGGTCTAGCATGGGTGAGTAACGTGTAATGTATATAATTCGTTAGAGTGTAATATAATAGATATTACCAAGAGCGTATTAAGAAGAAGCATTCTTAATTCACTCCTGATATAATGCAAGTTAGCCGCAACACATCTTTATAGTTTTGTATGCTAAAGACGAATAAAATGTTAAAAAAATCGTGTACTGTTTGGACATGTGGTGTGGAAATCTTGGGAATGGGTTAGCTGATGCGAGTTTTGCTAACCAGTTGTGTTTAGAAAGATTCTTCTCTGGAAAGTGTGCCATATTTATTAAAATGATAAATATATTATAGAAATTATCTCCTAGGAATTGGCCTAAAGGTCTGCATTGAGAGTGATGCCTAAAATGTAATGGTGTGCTGACCCATTTATAATACAGGATCTAAGGGATATAATTGTGCACTTTTTGGCTTTTAGCGCGTGTACTATTATGAGGAATGTGAGATCTGCAATGGCTGCCGTTGTGTATTGCAGATGGCAGACGCTATGGAGATGATGATACTGAGTATACTGTCACCGGCGCTACACTGCGACTGGCGGCTAACCGAATTCGAGCGAGCAACAATCACGACAGTATGCGAGAATGGAAGAGTGGCTATATAGCATGCTGTGATGAGAGGGAGTGCACGAGCTAAAGAGAGAGAGTGATGGAGAGAGAGATAGAAAGACTGAGAGAGAGAGAGTGAGTGAGAGAGAGAGAGAGAGAGAGAGAGAGAGAGAGAGAGAGAGAGAAGAGAGAGAGAGAGAGAGAAGAGAGAGAGAGAGAAGAAGAGAGAGAGAGAGAGAGAGAGAGAGAGAAGAAGAAGA